CTGAAGGACACTGTAAATTTTCATGACACGGAGTTGTCAGAGCCAAATTAATATGCAAACTAGTTTTAAATAATGCATTAATACCTAGGCTACATTAAACGTAAAGTATATTTGAATAATTAAAAAATGAATAAGTAATGCAAAGAAGATGTTTTACAGAACGGCTGAAAAAAAAAAAGAAATCTAAAAAAATATTATATCTCATAACTGATGAGCAACTTACTTGTTTTACTTGAGAGTCTTCAGCAGCGATACTTTCTGAGCTGGTTCTAGACAAAAACAACCCGCTCCCACACGGCTCCTCCTATTTATACTCCTCTTGTTTTTCTTGACTGAAAGTGGGGCAAAGGTCCCTCTGTCCCTGTTTCAAAAACGTTAATAGGTCACGTATTCACCCCAGGAGTATTCACCCCAGGAGTTACACGCATCAGCAGTAAATGTCTGTAACCTCCATAATGTGTTTTGAGTGGACAAGCCAAAGCTTGAGCAGGGGAAAAAAGAATGTCTAAAGTGGATTAGTATTGGTATGTGTCACTGCCAAAGTCTGTTTTTTATTTTCTTTTTCTTTTTTTTCCTTTCTAACTTTTTCATTTCTTCACACATGTCTCTTTCATAAAAAAAGAAAAACTGATAGCAAAGTTACACTTGTTTTTGCCAAAAAAAATGTCCAGATAGTAAACAGTTAACGAACACTGCATTCCAGACTTCTGTTTCCCTAGGGGCTGAAAGGGGGGGCAACACTGAAAAGAAATTACAACCAATTATGTATCAGATCATTGTGTGCAACATGGTTATTAAAGCATTCATTCGTACAGAATCAGTGATCATTTTATTTGCATGGTTCTCTTATCATCCTGTAATGTTTGCTTGTGCAGCATTGCACAGCTGGGTTAGTGTCAGCACTTTTCCTGCTGAGATGAAACTTTGACACTTCCTGTCTTTTTGCTGAACTTTGCTGAACACCCTGTTTTTAAAATTATGTAAGATATTTTCAAGACAAGACAAGTGTTTAAAACTTACATAAACGTCCAAAACCCTTTTATAAACATTCAAAGACAGTCTCAAGACATCTTATGTTTTATGATTTATCAGTTCATGTTCATTATCAATCATAAAACATAAGACAGTCTCAAGACGTCTTATGTTTTATGATTTATCAGTTCATGTTCATTATCAGATCTCATGATCTGGAGGACAGTTTGACCTCCTAGTGATGCATTTTAGATGCAGTTAACACACATTTCACTGATTACTGCTAGTTAACCGTTAACTTTAAGAATGTGTTATGAAATAATTTATTAGATAAACTGATTCTCATAAATCTTGACAATACATTTGTCTATTCTTAGTAAAGAATAAACTGTATATCCAAGTCAATGGATAGTGCAACAACTGGACATTAAATCAATAGCATCTTCAGAAATTGTCTAATCTATTTGATTTTAGCTTTTTTTCTCAAGTTTTGACAATCATTTTTAGATTAGCCTAATGTTTAACTAGCAAACCTGCAATGGTTTAACATACTCAGCTTATGTGTAAACCTGTTGATGTTTGGTTCAGATATATGAATTGAGGTTCGGCTATATGTTGTCTTCTGTTTTTACATTTAATAATTTTACATTGTACACATGCTTCCAACAATCACATCTTAGTTCTTGCTTTAATTTCGTTTAAAAGCATCAGTATTCTGTCATACATTAAAGGTCCGTGTAACGCTTCACAATTCAATTTTCAGACCATATGGTGCAAAAGCAAAAATGAAAAAATTAAACCAAACATTATTTTTTTCAGATACTTCGTTAATTAATAATTGCCATTTTCTCTCCTTTTTTCAGTTTACTAAATTGTGACTTAAGAAATGATAATTTGAATAAAAATCTAAACAATTTTGTATTTTTCAATTTTTTATCTTTCAATTTGCGCTGTGGGCTCCCATAGAAAGCTATGCCATACACACACATAACCACCGGAGACGTAGGCTAAAGATTTATTCATAAACATCAGCCGCGGAAATCAGTCTACATATATCTCCGGGTAATGTTTGAACTGTAAAAGCTACATTTGATCATAAATGTTTATAAAATATTTGCACATAGGTTTTTCCAGCAAGCTACAACATTACCACGAATGTAACTCGGCGGTAATGCCGCTGCCACTTCCAAAGTCCCGCAAGTCTGTGGCAGGCAGCAACAACCGCCGCCGTGGAAAGTGAGAAGGGTCTGGCTGCAGCCTTGCACTTGCACTCTCAGACTTGCACTCTCAGACACCCGCAAATCCGTGGCCACAGAACAGCAGAATATGAACGCAATGCACAAAGTCTCTCATTAAGCGTTTTCCTCCTGTAGAAAAACATAAACACTTAACATGGCTTAATGTATTAAGAAACATTAAGTTCAGTTAAAAGATCAAATTCGATATATAGTTATTATTGAATGTACTACAAGGCTATCAGATGGCTATGAACACAATGCGCAAACTTTCACTTGTCCTCCCATACAGCAAAACGCTTAATGTGGCATAATAACGGACTAAGATTATAAAGACAATTCAGTAGCCTGTATGTCTTGTTGTTGACTCAGAGTATATACAGACCAACAAATATGAACGTGCATTATGAAATGCATTAAGTGACTTTAAAAGGATCAACTCAGTAGGCTACAGGCAAGCAGATGAGCCCAGTACGCAATGCGTTAAATTGCACGTTAAACATTTTCCTCCTATAGAAAATCATTATAAATAAAACATGTAATGTAGCTTAATGGACAAAGACAATGATATAAAAGAGCTGTAGAAAGTATATTCTATATGGAAAAACGCTTAACGCGAAAGGCTCACCTGCTTGCCTGTACATATTAGTTATGTATATTAATAATGTAGAGGAGCATATTGAGTTTGGCCTTTTTAGTCCATTATGCCACGTTTTGCAGTATGGAAGGAAACTACTATATACATATTCATTATATTAATAAACGGCATATTTAATTTGATATTTTAATAGCATCTTAATACATTAAGCCATGTTAAGTGTTTATGTTTTTCTACAGGAGGAAAACGCTTAATGAGAGACTTTGTGCATTGCGTTCATATTCTGCTGTTCTGTGGCCACGGATTTGCGGGTCTTGTCTTTTTCTTGCAGGACCCTGTATGTTATAGTACTAAATTAGTTGTAATCATTTAATCACCACCACAGCGTCTTGTCTCCATTGGCAACACGCACGATTTGTGTGGATTGCAAGTGACTTTGTAATTTAGTTCCTTTCTTCTTGTCTTCACCACCTGGCTACTGTTGTAAAATGTTGAGAGATTCAAACAAAAAGTAATTAATAAATAGAACAAAATAGAAAATAAAGACTGCAAGTAACGTCGCTAGCGGATGCGCAAGTGTCTGAGAGTGCAAGTCTGAGAGTGCAATTAGTGCAAGGCTGCAGCCAGACCCTCTTGTGGAAAGTGGCAGCTGAGCATAGCGGAGCATAGCAAATTACTGTAGGTTATAATGCTTTTCAAATGTAGCCTTTACAGTTCAAAAAATGGAAAAATAGAAAATTGTTTAGATTTTTATTAAAATGATAATTTCTTCAGTCACAATTTAGTAAACTGAAAAAAAATTAATGTTTGGTTTCATTAAACCAAACATTTCTCTTGTCTAAATTTCTCTTAAAAAAAATAAAGATTCCAAAAGTGGGTTTTTACAGTGATGCCACGAAGAACCATTTTTAGTTCTCAGTGAACAGTTCCTAAAATTACCATTTTTCTTAATGTGAAGAAAATTGTAATCTAAAGAACCTTTTTCCACTATAAAGATCCTTTTGTGGAATGGAAACGTTCCATGGATGTTAAAGATTCTCATCAACGCCAATAAGAAGCGTTAGTTTTAAGAGTGCACTGTATCTCAGTTGTGCCTCAGGAGGCCAGTGGAGAGCTTTGTCTGTCAACGAATAACGCACGTTTCGGTTGTGAGAGAAGCAAAAAACAGTTTATTATGACAAATTTCAGCTTAATTTCAAATATCCTTAGTGAAAAATGTAATAACTTCTGTGAAAGGTCTTATGAAACATGAATATATAGCTAGAATTACTTATTTTTCTCTCTAATCGATCAAACTACATATTTTCTTTTGATTTTATAAAATTTTATTATTTTCTAGTTTTTGAACAAAAGTAACATTGGATCAGGTTTATTAAAACCTAAAACCATTAAAAAAAAACGTTTCTTAAAATAATAATAAACACTTTATTTTATCTTATCTAAAATAACTCAAACTAAAATCAAAACTGAGAACTAGCCTGTATAGACGTTTAAGAAAAACAAATAAAAATGACAATAAGATAAAAACATTTAAAATGAAATTTAAATATTTAAATTTAAAATGAAATATAAACATTAAAATTAATTTAAAATGTGAACAAAAACTATAGGCTAATAATATATCAATGAATTGTATGTACAAGACTTCCATAAAATGCTTTACTAATGGGGTCATTTTTAAATACATTTTTATTTAAATATTTTAATCCAAATCAGGTTGCCAACCAACATTTTACTTCTTAGACTTATTTACCTTTTCCATACTTTTTTTAATGTAGCTATTTATTAAAGACATATAACGCTTACAGGGGATACATAGGCCTCCAGCACAAATATTAGGCTATTTAAAAGAACAATAGACCTATATGACTTAACCTAAAGCAGTAAAGTATAATACACAACCAGAATACAAAACACAATAATAATCTACTAAAATAATTAAGCCAAAACAAATGTACATTTTCCATACTTGAAGATAACGGGATCTTTGAGCACCGTCGCCCTGGTAACCACCACCTGTCAGCCTCGCGCGATAAAACTCTACCGCAGGGGCTTATGGGAACTCGAGGCCAGAGCAAGAGCGACCGCCCTTTTCCGACGAGCGGAGGAAAAACAGCACATTGATCGCTTCAGGCCTCAAACGCGTATAAACAACCGCACTAAACATCAGAGCGTCACCCGGGGTAAGTTCTCGGGAGCGTTAGACACCCGGCGTCACTCATTATTTAGCCGAAAGGGAATCTGTCTTATTAAAAGAGCATTTTAATGCGCGATTTGATGACGTAACGACAATGGTCCAGAAAACAAATGGCGAATGCGTTAGCGGCCACAGGCCCAGCGTGCGAGTAACATGAAGCTGACTGGCACACAGTGCTGCTTTCGCCGTTTGTGTATTTCTTTAGGACCTCCAAACGGTTGGACTGTTGAAGTACGTGGCTTTTGCAGCACTTTGAGCCGATGGGTGTAAAGCAGTCCGTCTTGCGTAGAGAAGCTCCCTGTAGAAATGCGCGCTTATTCGGCATGCTGCTTAGATATGCCTGCCGCTCTATGGATCTGTTGGCATAGGGGCCATTACAAAGTATGTGCCTAATTTATCTTAAAGCATTGTCTGTGTTAATTGACACACGCCTGTGAAAGATTGTAGACGAATTGTTTGGCTTTCAAAATGCATTTAACAATTTAATATTATAGCTGTCTACCCACTTACAAAATCTGGGGTGTGTTTCCCAAAAGATTCGTTAGCTAGCTATGGTCGTTAGTTCCATTGAACTATTTTTAACGACGGGACTTGCGACCATGGTTATTTTTGGGAAACGCACCCCTGAACAAATGTAACTGCTTTTTGGTACTAAAAAGTCAATGTATCTTCACTTTTCTATTATAATTTATATATATATATATATATACATGCTGTCTTGTTATTATTGTCTGTTTGTTTCTTCATAGTACTTGCATGTGCAGGGAAAGGGCTGAACCATGTCTGTTGATGGAGATGTTGACTATGGGCATGAGTTTCCAGCCCATTACAAAGTGATGCTTGACAAACTGAATGAGCAGCGTCAGCTGGATCAGTTCACAGACATCACACTTATTGTGGATGGTGAGGTTTCCAGTGTTTGTACCTGCTAATCTAATACCTTTTGGAATTATGCAAAATATGATACAGGTGAATAAACAGGTGCTGATGATTGTGGTTACTTTAACAGGGCATCAATTTAGGGCCCACAAAGCTGTTCTGGCTGCCTGCAGTCAGTTTTTCCACAAATTCTTTCAGGACTTCACTCAAGAGCCTCTAGTGGAAATTGAAGGTACCCAACTATACATGCATCTCTGTGGAACCAAAAACTGTTATATATGATGACCCTGAACCACAAAACCAGTCATAAGGGTCAATTAAAAAAAGATTTACACATCACCTGAAAGCTGAATAAATAAGCTTTCCATTGATGTATGGTTTGTTAGGATAGGACAATATTTGGCCGAGATACAACTATTTGAGAATCTGGAATCTGAGGGTGCAAAAAAATCTAAATATTGAGAAAATCGCCTTTAAAGTTGTCCAAATTAAGTTCTTAGCAATGCATATTACTAATCAAAAATTAAGTTTTGAAATATTTACGGTAGGAAATTTACTAAATATCTTCATGGAACATGAGCTTTACTTAATATCCTAATGATTTTTGGCATAAAAGAAAAATCGATAATTTTGACCCATACAATGTTTTTTTGGCTACAAATATACCCAAGCGACTTAAGACTGGTTTTGTGGTCCAGGGTCACATATTACAATGTAGCCTGTTTTTCCTGGACAATGACTAATCTTAATCAGCAACTCTGTCTAAACTGGAAGCACTTGTTTGCAACACAGTTAGTAGACTTTGGGCTTGGTAATTTACACCTAGAAGCCCAGATTGACAAAGAAGTGGGAGGGGGGGATAATACCAATGTCACTGAATTATTGCTATGTATTTGTTTTAAATAATATTGAATTACACTTTATTTTAAGGTGTCAGTTGTTATAGTGTAATTATACATTTAATTACTGAGTAATGTTAATCAGCTACATGTACTCACTATATGGTTAGGATTAGGGTTTGGCTTAGGGTTACTTGCATGTAATCATACATCATTTATTGTTATTATAATAGTAAGTACATGTATAACGAGGACATCTTAAAATAAAATGTTACCTAATATTGTTTATTGCCCAAAACGAATAATGGAAAGTTGGCTTTTTAAAGAAATCTACATTTGGTCCAATTGGACCTGAAATCAAATTTGTTTAAAATTACCAGATACCCGAGGCTACTGATATCAGACCTGAACCATGTCTTTGCCGCTAATCATATTTTTTTAGCCTGACCCATTTGAGTCAGACCTCAGGTTTTTGTATCCAAGTTGACCGCAGTTAATGCTACCAGTTGACACATTTCTGCTATTGCATTTTATGTTCTCCCAGCCCTAATAGTAGTAAGCTAAAAATGACTCCAAATAATGTATGCTCAATAATAATAATCTTCTTTACTACAATATTTTTGTTGCAATGAACAGGTGTTAGCAACACTGCCTTCCGTCACCTAATGGAGTTCACTTATACAGCTACATTAGCTGTGAATGGTGAGGAAGAAGTCAGTGATGTCTGGAGAGCTGCAGAGTACCTTCAAATGCAGGAGGCGATCAAAGCCTTGAACAACAGGTTGCTCACTATTGTACATATTCTTTTGCTTGATTTTATCCTGAAGTTGATTTTTAACTATTATGTTTCTTCTACGTAGAAGGAATGGTACAGCCTCAGTGAACTCCTCCCAGGCCTTGGCTGGAAAGAGCAAGGCTAAAAAAAGGAAAATCGCAGAGTCCTCCAATGTGATCACTGAGACTCTTCCTTCAGTGGAGACCGAATCTGTTGAGATCGAAGTGGAGGTTGGCGAGGAACATATTGAGGTGGAGGAAAGCGGCCTGGTGGAAGTAGTGGATGCTGCTAGGAGTTCAACCGAACCCTCATCGGATGACTCTGCATTGGCCTTATTGGCCGACATCACCAGCAAGTACCAGCAGGGAGAGCAGACACTCCATGTGATGAAAAAGGAAGTAGATGATTCGGTAGTCGTGCCGGAAGAGGCTGTGATTGCCTCCAAGACCCTGGAGAATATTGAAGTGGTGGAGGTTCAGATCTCTCAGCTGGACAACCTTTTCCGTTGTGACAAGTGCGACCGCTGCTTCAAACTCTACTACCACCTCAAACAGCACATGAAGACTCACACCGCTACCCCAGATAGGGGCTTTGTCTGCAGGCACTGCGGTAAAACATATGCCCGGGAAGGAGCCCTTAAACAGCACTTGAATAATTACCATTTTGATGCGGAGGAACAGTCCCAACGACAGAAAAAGAAAGTGCATGTTTGCGAGTACTGTGAAAAGCAGTTTGATCATTTTGGACACTTCAAAGAGCATTTAAGGAAGCACACAGGTGAGAGATTATGAGGTCAAATGCATTTTAAGAAATGTATTCAAATGTAATCTCTAATCAGCTTCTCATTTATTCACGTATGTGTAGGTGAGAAACCCTTTGAGTGCCCGGAGTGCCATGAACGTTTTGCCAGGAACAGTACGCTGAAGTGCCACATGTCAGCATGTCAAAATGGCGCTGGAGCCAAAAAAGGGAGAAAGAAGTTGTATGAATGCCAGGTTGGTTTTAGCCAGTAAAATATTATCCAAACATGCATTTTTACTATGCTAAACCTTCTGAAAAACTCACTAAAAGGGCTACAGAAAATCTAATTGCTATTTTTCTGATAAATGTGATTTTGCGCGTTTTAAGATACAATATATTGCATTCAATTTCTCAATTAATTCATTTTAGTGTAACTTCATTTTTACTAAAACTGAAGTAAAAAAAAAAAAACTAGACTAGAGAAACATAAGATTACTAAAACTTTAATTAAAATTAAAATGGAAAATATCAATTTGATGATAATAGTATTTATAAAAATTTTTAAATATTAAATAAGAAATAATACCATTGTAATATTACATTGCAAAATAACAAATTGGGTATTTAAGAAAAATATAATGTTATATTTGAGAGTAGAACTGTAAAATTAATACATGTATATATTTATTATGCATATATGTATATACTGTACGTGTGTGTATGTGTGTCTATATATATATATATATATATATATGTATGTTAAAGTCTTCATATCATTTACAAATATCAAAGCATCAAGCTTCATTTTTGACAAAATACCTCAGGTTTCTTCTCATTTTTTGACAACAGCATATAATTGCTTCTCATAAGTTTGGAAAGATGGTGTGTTTCCATAAACTAAAAATATATTTATTTAAAGGCACAATATGTAAGTTTTTGCCACTGGAGGGCGCATATTCAAAACAAACAAAGAAACAAAGGCGTAGTTAGATGACGCTGTGACTGAGTGTGGAATCATTGGAGTTATCATCTTCATCCCCACAGCTGATGCAATCCGATGGGACTTGGGCAGAAATCATGTTCATGGATGAGCTAATGTATTAAAGATTTATAAACGTCGTAGTATGAAGCGGAGTGAGGCTGAAAGCCGTCGAAGCGTCACGAGGCCGCTGAACGAGCGCGACACAGCGGAGCTTTTATTATGCTACACTTTAGCGCTTCTGCTCGTGCGTATGTGGGGTTAAGCAGCGCTGTTTTATCATAATAGATGCGTTTGAAAGTTCTGTTATAATGCTACTCTGTGCGGTCTTCACCTGTCTAATAAAATGCATAACATAAAGCGTCTTTGGTGTTTCCATGTTTTCTACAAAACAAGACTGGAAATCGAGGGTGTATGAGCCATTATTTAAAATGGCTATTTCTCTGGATTTAAACATTCTTCGAAACATTTGGGATAATGTAAGTACACATGTCAGCAAAATATATAACGCTGTTCTAGTGATTTTTGGATATTTTAATAAAAAAATCTACATATTGTGCCTTTAATTAAAAGCAATTTGTTAATCACACTAAGCAATATGGCAGTTTTGGTTGTAATTTGCTCATTCATGCAGCCCTACTCGCTTATCTTTTTCACTCCTCAGGTCTGTAGCAGTGTTTTCAATAGTTGGGAGCAGTTCAAGGACCACTTAGTGACCCACACGGGTGAGAAACCCAACCACTGCACCATCTGCGATCAGTGGTTCACGCAACCCAGAGACCTCCACACTCATCTGCTAGAGCTCCATGGCTTACAGGAGAAGGTTATCGTCACAGAGGAAGTCATGATTTCAGACCCAACCACGGTCTTGGCTATGGTGGAGGTTGAGGAGGGAGAGGAGAGGGTGATTCTGGAGGACGGCATACGGGTGGAGCATGTCACTGTGGAGCCGGTGGACGTTGTTGCTGTTGAGGAGACTCTCATGGTGGAGGAAGAGATGCCGATACAGCCTTCTCAGACTGTGGGTGGGGTGGAAGAGACAGTGGTTTTACACGTACATGGCGAGAGATTGAAAGAACAAGCAATGGAAATCCAAATAGCACGGGTGACTGTTGCAGAACCAGCAGAAAGTCGAGTTCAACAAGAGGCAGTGAACAGTTTGAAAGAAGTAAAGACTGCAAATGTATGAAAGGCCTCTCCTGTGCATGGACACTTTGAGAATGAATTGGAAAGGTGAACCAGGCCTTTACTCCTTTCCCACCACATTAAAATTATACAGTAATGCTCACAGTGGTGTCATGCAACAAAGATGGGTCACCAGCTTTATTTCTTTAAGCTTTGCTCTTCACTTCTCGGAAAGCAGTGTCTCTATAAATCTGATTACCGGTTCAGTCATGCTTTTAATGTATGTTGTGGATAAGAATAGTAAGATGTAATTCATTTCATGAATAGTGCACATCGCCAAGACTGTTTCGGGTGTGGAAAGAATGTTTTTTTTTTTTTTTTTAAGTTATCTTTGGATGTATGTTTATAGCGTGTGCAAGAAGCTTATTTTCATAAAAGAATTAAAGGGCAAAATGTTTCCCCAGATAATCGAGACGACATGTATGTAGTTCTGGCTTGTGTTTCTAATTTTTCTCCTTGTTCAGTCTGCACCATTCATTCATTTTAAGTGAGCTTGCTGTTCAGTATGGAGGACGAAACCTGCAAAAACAATAAATAAATAAATGCGCAAATAAATAAATGTGTGTGTATAAATACACAAATTCTTGTTTAAATACATATAGAAATAATGTGATTAAAGTAGGCAAATAAATAAAATAAATTGGTGGGCAAATGGAAAATGTTTAAGGAAATGCTAAACTCATCCTAACAATTTTCCTTTGATCACTCATTTATTTCTGAATGTAGTTCCACGTTTATTTTTCCTCTGCACAACATGCTAATGAGAGGGTGTCAACCATGGACTTGGTCGGGGTCATGTCATAGCTGGGGGTGTGGCTTTCCCGCTGACAGGAGATGCATGGTGTTAATCCAGTATGACCTACGTAAAGTCACTTTTGCCGTTCAACAGAGCAAGATACACAAACTGAGCTGTATTGTCCGTACAGTACCTGTGCCTTTACAAATGACCCAACAGAATGACCAGAGGTGTCATTTCCTGACGTCATTTTTTGTAACCCGATTGAGTCTCCAGCTATAGACAACTGTAATATCAGTATCCATGGTCATCGTTAGATTATTCACTTTATCCGTGGAATAAGGGCTCGTTCTTTTGAAGGCAGCTAGTGTTTATTAGGATGTTTTTACCTACTCGTTTAGGTACGTGTAAGATCATTTTTATGGTCAGTAAACAGTCTTCTACAACCAAGTCTATCTGCAGCAATCTCTCTCTCTTTACAGCGGGAGAACCAAATTAGTGACATACACAGCACAAGGGTACATGTCAGTTGATTCTCAATTTATTACTGTACAAACAGGCTTATACACATCCTTGAGAACTGGAATGAAGTGGTTTAATCGAGGAACAGACAGTTTTTTCCCATTAGTTATCAGAACAGAAAATGCAGGCGACAAAAGTATGTTTATTAAGCAAATAATGGTTCAGTATTGCAATTAAGAGCTATGTAAGCATTAATATTTTACACTGGCCACTTAAAATCTTTTATGATTTAGCTCTCTCATGATTATAACTACAAAACTAACCCTATGAAAAAGTGTAAGATAATAATCAGTCCCCTTGACTGATGAAGTTAATACGCATGCGCAGGCAAACGCTCAAGCACGTCACACACGATCCGCCTACTCTTGCATAATTGACACCCTCTCATTAGCATGTTGTGCAGAGGAAAAATAAATGCGGAACTACATTCAGAAATAAATGAGTGATCAAAGGAAAATAAATAGGATGAGTTTAGCATTTCCTTAAACATTTTCCATTTGCCCACCAATTTATTTTATTTATTTGCCCACTTTCATCACGTTTAATTATTTATGTATTTAAACAAGAATACGTGTATTTATGCACACATTTATTTATTTATTTGTGCATTTATTTATTTATTGTTTTTGCAGGTTTCGTCCTCCATAGTTCAGCTGTACAGAGCTGTACTGATGTGGCACTCTGAGCCTGTTTTGAGCTGCAGTGATTTATGTGAACTGGAAATGAAATGTAATTGGGGAAATGCAGCATCTCTTCACTGTAAAGCAGGTATGGGTTAAACCAGGCCTTCTCAGACGGAGGAGCTTTGAAGGCGGGGCCAGGCATCTTAGGGGCTGGGACCCACTATAGGGCCTCAGAAAACTTCTAAGAGGGCACAGGATGACTTAAATTAATTTCGTATTAATGTATTTAACTTCAATATTATAATGAATCCATTACAACAATTTAATTAAAAATGCTTAAACATCCCATTGTTATCCCATTATAATAATTATTCGTAGTTTCTCTAAAACAAAACATATAGCTGTCTTTGTATTTTGCAAGGGGCTTATTGTTACTAGTAATTGGATTTAGAAAGTTTGAAAACCACTAGTTTACAGGATCACAATCGTTGTTAAATTGATTCGTTATTGATAGTCTCAAAGGTGATTTTGTTTTGAAGTAAAACTAGACTTTAAAAAAAAAAAAATTAGCAAAACTCAAGGGACATACATTTTTTTTTTCTATTTTAGAAATGTTCTAACAGCCTATTGGTTAAAGAAAGCCGTTAGTCCCACCTCCAAGCTGTGATTGGTTAACAGAACTGTCCGTCACCTGTCCTCCCTGTTGCTGTGATGGTGCCTGGAGTCCTCGCGCATCACATTCAGGCAAATGACACGCACCGAGTTACAACAAACTGAATGATCCCGCTATGAATACGCACAATAATTCAACGAGGCAACGCTTAAGAAAGGTAAGGATGTTTACTCATCAATTCTCATCATCCTGAGAGGTAACCATTAAATACATACAAGCATGAAGAATTAATGTATGCCTTCAAATTGTTTACAAGGCTTTTATCATTTGTTCAGATATCAATAGACAAATCTTGATGTTGATGTATCTGGCGTTACTGCCCAGCGGCGGTTGTTACGGAAGCGTGTAAACTACAATTCATCTTTGGCGCAGACACGAGCATCATCTCATTAAAAATTAGGCTGGTGTTACTGTTAGGCTACTTCTATTTTATAATTATATTTCACAGAGCTGAACTACACACTGAGATCTGACACAAACGTGCGTCACCTTTAGTGACTTGAGATGCGTGTGAAATAAAGATTTACCCTTGCAGAGTAATTTATTGCCAGTAATAATAATATATAATGCTTTTTCCTTACTATATATTAGGGAAGTGGGCATATTGGATGTTGTGATGAAAGTCATAGTGAATGAGCAATTATGTAAGAATTACTTTACTTAATTCTACTTTCTAAAAAATGTGTGCCTCCATTTAGAGCCAAAGGTTTTGCTAGCTGAACCCTGTACATGCAACAAGGCTTTTTCTTACCCAGGGGCCACTGATATCCCATGTGTTTAGTGTTTATCTTGTGTGTAGATCAGAAAGATGGCCAGAAAGATGGTGGAAAAGGGTGAGAGAGGAAGATCATTATGCAGACACATGCACAATCACATCCATGCACTTGAAAGGATCGTTTCAGGATTTCTGCTTGTTTTACACTTTAAAAGAGAATTCTGTCAGCCGGTGAATCTTTTCAGCCCCTTCAGCAATCAGCAGCGCACACACACACATATGCAGGAAGGTGTTTGAAGCTTGCCTTGAGGATTTGAGTATTCATGAGAAACATCACTTTGATTTTGTGTGCTGTACCTTGGTAAATAGAGCGTGTGAAGTAGGGCAGTCAGAACGATATTAAATATATATATCAAATATAAATAGGAAGATCAAATATCTGTATCAGATAGATGTGTTTTTTTTCAGCCATCTGGTTATTTGTTCTTGCTACCATCTAACTATTTATATAAGAATCAGTTTAGCAATCAGTATTCGGGTCATTTTATGCCTACTTTATTTATTTATTTTTTAAAGAAATTAATAGTTTCCAAAAACATTAGTTTTCATACATTTTAAATAAATGTTTAAAAAAACAATTTTCTGTTCATCAAAGAATCCTGAAAAAATGTTATGGTTAGGCCTGTCAAGATAACAACTTTTTGTTGTGCGATATATTGCCCCAGAAATAATTGCGATAAGCGATATTATTGTCATTTTAAAGACCATTTTATGCCACTGAATATATAATCATAATGTAACAGCATAATAATGCAAGAAGGCCTACACGCTAGGGCTACACGATTAATCGAATGCGATTGTCATGCGCATTTTGTTAAAAAAGCCGGTTCTGTAATCAGCAGGAAATCATCATCACGTGCTTTCAGATGAAGCAGAATTTACTACAGATAACCGTAGTTCACTGACAAGTTACGCAAAAAAATTTTGCGCGATTCTGAAATCGTAGAAATCGTTCGTGATAATGACAGCTGTTTGCGTAGCTTCTCAGTGAACTACGGCTCTGTGTAGTAAATGCTGCTCCATCTGAAAGCATGTGAAAATACCACATTTAATAACATATTTTTACTCCAAACTCACTTCATAACATCAGTCGAGTGTTTGAAATAAATCCTTCTGTGAGATAATGTGGCTTCTTACACAGAATAAGGCACGCAACTTATTTCATAGTATTTAAGCAGTGATAAAGGCATTGCATTATAAATATACTTTATTTAAATGAAAATTATAATAAGAAGAAATCAGATAGACCGTATATTGCCGTAGTCGTGTGTTTATTAGTCACGTTGAATCAATGAAAGCAGTTGAATCTTCTGTTTATTCAGTTGCAGCTATAGGCATGTTTTGGGTTTCTTCTGCGAGGCGTATTTGGAGTTTCAGCGTGAGAGCGCCCTCTGGCCTTTGGATGGAGATTTACTGCTGATCACAGAACCGTGCTTCACTGAAAGATACGCATGACAATCGCAGCTTCTGTCGAATCGCGATCTCGATTCCATTTCGATTTATCGTGCAGCCCTACTACACGCTTCCAAATGACAACACACTTTACATTTTTAAGAATATTTAGATCATGAAAATTAAGTATCAAAATATTAGATACCGTAAAAAAACTCGAATAAATAGTAAATAAACATTTTCTAACAAAAAGTGCAAAGTAACAAGTAGAAAAAAAGAAAAATGCACAAAGAACTTGTATGGAGATTTTTCCATCTACTGATTTTTCCCTGACCTTCTTTTCTCTGTAAATGAAGCGTGCACACTATTGCTGAAAAACACAATCACTACTTAGCAGTCAGATGTCTGTATGCACAAAGGCACAGATCCCTAAACAAGGCCACATCTGCAGATGAAAAAATTTTTGACTAGCACCTCATGACTACACGTTATGAACGAGAATCTGCAAAAGACACGGGCGCAAGTGGAATGTACAAAACATGGTGACATTAATTTTTAGGTAAATATAATGTGCGATATATTGCATCACCAAAAATGATTGAGGTCATGTACATATATTGCACGAGAAGTCGATATATTGATTATTGCAACAGGCCTAGTTATGGTTTTCACAAAAATATTAGGCAGCAAAATTTTCAACATTTATGATAATTAAAAAAAAAAATGTTTCGTGAGCAGCAAATCAACATATTAGAATGATTACAGAAGGATCATGTGAATTCAGCATTGCTATTACAGGAATAAATTACATTTTAAAATCTCTATCTCTATCTCTCTCTCTCTCTCTCTCTCTCTCTCTCTC